AAAAAAAAAAAAAAAAAAAAAAAAAAAAAAAAAAAAAAAAAAAAAGGGAAAAAACCCCACTAAAAATAATTAATCTTAAGGCTACTTTTCTCGAATTATTGCTAAGGTTTGGGCCCAGGTGTCAGTTCAGGAGCCAGTCCCTCCTGCCCTCTCCATCCCCAGCAGGACCTTCCAGGAGCACCGGCCTCCCGTCCGGGGCTCTGCGGGGCGGAGGCGTCTGCGGGCTCGGGCGGCCCGCTGTCCCTGCAGCGCGGTGCTCGGTAGGCCAGGGGAGGTGTCCGAGCGGGYGCTTTTCCCTTCTAAACCCGGCGGTGGGGTCTGCTTGCCTCCCAGCCTCACAGCCTGGTACCGGGGAAGAGTCCCGCGGATCCACCGCTGCTCTTCCCGGGCGGCTGCCCCGGGGCGCGGTGGCAGGGCTCCCTCACAGCCGCGAGGAGTAATGTCCCCGGACACCTCTGGTGTAATCGGGGAGGGGGTGATGTGCGATAATAGAGTACGAGGGGGCTTTCCTGGGCGGGCTCTCTGTCTCTSAGGTGAGACTGGGCTGTACGGAGCTGCCTGTCGCTGTACCCGGTCAGCTCTCCAGTGTGGCCACCATCGGGCTGTCACGGGATGCCACCGCCTGCCGCCTCCCTACCTGCCCCGMTTCTCTCTCCCCGACACCCCACACCGGTCCCCTCTCGAAACAGGGGTTTTACTGACTGTTTGTGTTCCACTGACCCCAGATTACTTGAACAGAAGTTTCTGATCTTGTGCCATTTTACAACCCGCCATCCTACGCGGGTCACTCTCGTCCGAACACCTCGATACCGGTTTGGCTTAGCACACCTCCGGTCCTTGGCAGAGCTCGCATCCCCGCACGCCTGATTTGCGGTGGTGAAGGACCCTCCTAACGCGGAGCACAATCTCGGGGCGGGACAGCGGTTTCTGGAAGCCCGCAGCCCCAGCCAGCCCCGCAAGCCCAGCTCCCAAATCTGCCAGGCACACTCTCCTCTGCCCTCTCCGGCGAGCAGCGGCTCTCGGCCTCTGCCCTGTCCGGAAGGCCGTGATCGGACGGTAAAGGGTCCCACAAACCCGCTCACTCTGTGGGACGGGGAGGAAGAGGGAAACTTGTGCGAAGGGAAAGCCACAGGCAGCGGGTGGAAATGAATCGGGCAGCCCCGAGGGTCCCGACGGACGGAGACCCAAAAGCAGAGGTTTCTTTTTGAGGTGTTTATGGCGAGGGCAGCGTGGAGCACGAAACAGCAGTTGGCAGGCGTCCACACACAATAGTTATGCCAGTCCTGACTTTCTCCTTTCGTTCTTAGGGTTTTTAATCTTGGTGTTCTTCGATTTTCTTTTCTCTCTTCCTCCCTCTCTCTCTTCCTCCCTCTCTCTCTTCTCTCTCTCTCTCTCTTTCTCTCCTTCCCCTTTCCTTCCCCTTTCCTTTCCTTTCCTTTCCTTTCCTTTCCTTTCCTTTCCTTTCCTT